CAGTTAAGAATTCTTCTCTAATAATTCAAATTTTTACAATCTCTCTTTTTCCTCATACTTTACAGATGTTTCTAGAATATTACAAGAATATTACAACCTTATCCATTCTAGATGAGCAAATATGCCGGGGGCTGAGTATACTCGGTGAATATGTGCGGTCAGTCAGTTTTCCGAATAGTAACGACGTGACAATCTTGAAGAAGAGTCCTCGAGGGATTAGGGACGTTTGAGTAAATGCATGATTGGTAGTCGAAGGAGCGGTCTCGAGCGAGATACTTGTGGTCTGGGTCGGTGGATTGGAGAGGTTCCGGTTGATCGGATTGCCGATTACCAGGGGGAGGGAAACGTTGGTGGGGCAGGGAGGAGAGGGTCACGATTGCACGGCAGGAGAAAAGGGACACGTTAAACTGGTAGGAAAGAGACAGTGAAGATCACTTCCGCTCCACGGAGCGTACTAGAACGCTATGCGGCAGTACGTTTGACCCTCCGATTCCTTCGTTAATAGTCCCACGGAGACGCCGTCTGAACTGAATCCCTCACAAAAATTAATAATAACTAGATAATTCGTCGTTGTGATATTCATATTGTTCAAATATGATCGTACTCATAATTAAAGAAAAAAAATACTTGATACTTTGAAGAGAAGAAATTTTGCAATAATGATGGAAGAGCCTAACGAGCTCTAAGCGAAAAGAAAATTAAGAAGCGAATATCGTGCCAAAGTACTGTGCAACAATAACAGCTTTCGTTCTTCGCGCATCATCGATTGTGCTCCGCTGGTGCTCCTGAATCCGTGCACGCACGCACGCACGCACGCACGCACGCACGCGTTCACATACGCATACATCCGTGAACGCGTGCCCCTAGAGATCTGTTGATTCCGAACTATCCGAACAAGCAAACCCGAACAAGGCGAGAAGTAAGAACGAACCCTCTTTCTCTCTGCCTCTATCTCCGCTAAGCTATATAAAGTCGTTCACCCCGATTCAGACAATCTAGTGTCTGCGCACGGCTGCCGGCTAACTCGGGAATGATCCGTGATTGTATTAATATCACAACACGCCTCGGTACGTATTTATACGTCTTTCATCTCTCTTTCTCTCTCTCTCTCTCTCTGCCCATCTCCCTCTCTCTCCCCCCCCTCATCTTCCCTTCCCTCTTTCTCTCTCACGTTTCTAACCGAGCTCTATCGTCGTGCCACGAATTTATGCGATCATTGGTGCGCCATTTCGCATGCCTGTCCGTCTCTCGACGTGCATATATACCGAGAGACAGATTGTACATTTTTGCTCCTCCCTATCTCCGTTGGAACCATAACAATAAGGGAAACTAGTTATCGATCCCGCGAGTATCCACCGCCCGCGGTAACTTACTTTAACTCGCAACCTGGGATATATTTTTTAGTCACACTGAAAATGTGAAGTATTTTTTTCTCTTATTCTGATATTAGGATATAAAAAAAGATAGGTCACTTTGATAAAATACTCGGGACTCGAATAAAACATTAACGTATTAGATTAAAAATGAAATTTGGATATTTTAATGTTTTAAAGATGATGACTAAAGAATAAATTCGTATTCCCGACTTATAACAATTAACAACCTGGTTTAATAAACTGAAAGATGAAATTGATTCGATTAATTTACTCATTTGAAATATTCAATATTTGTGGATAGAACTTGAACATTGATGACTATCAGTTTCGGCAAAACCAAAATCAGGAAAGAATGGGAAAAGTTTTATACAAGTTCCAACTCGTCTCCATATCGCTTTAATAAGATATTGTACGTTTTTCTCTTCTTTCTCCCAAATGTCTGCGCTTCAATTTTCTATTCGGAATCTTCTTAAAAATTTCTTAGTATTCAATATACTAGCCATTCCACACCAAAACCATTTATCCCAACGAGCGTAAATCTCAACTAAAACAAACTGTCCGTATTCAAGGGCAGCGCAAAACATCAAACACCAAAATGGATTTAATGGGCGCTTTGAGCTCCGTACTTCATTACACTTAGCGGAAACGGGCACTACGTTAAAACTTGAAACGCAAACGTACAATAAACTGAACTCTTGCCTGTTAATTAATATATAATCAGTATTTGCATTCGCGTCGTACTGCCGAACCTCTTAATTAATAATTAAAATTAGCTATCCAATTAGAATTTGCACGAAATTATTATACATGTCATCGAAATTATCTTAGACTTAATTTCATCGAAATTGCATAGCATCCCAAAAGCATTTGTCTTTTCCCTAATTTATGCTAATGTAACATTTTTATTTTACACATCGATCTACAATGCCGTACCATAGATGATGTCAATTAAAGCTGATGATTGTAAGGCGTAATGACGTATTGTGCCAAGGTAAAAGAGAACATGTAAAGAGACGAATTATATTCGAAACTTTTTTTACATCCGAACGCACGTAAGTAAAATTTCGACGAAACAGAAGCGTCGCTGAATGTAGAATTGCAATGTCTATCGGAACGCGGGTCTCTCTCTCCTGAAAGCAGCAAAGCAGCGGTTTTAGGGTTCCCCTTTTCGACGCGCGCGACGGTGAGAAGAGACGTTGAAAGACGAGAAAGTGAGACGGTGCCTTTGGAGCATCGTGAAATAAAACAGGAAGGAGTGAGAGATGCGATTGTGACTTTTGAACGAGTTTCCACTCCGTCTTTCTCTCTCTCTTTCTCTCTCCTCTCGCCCTCCCCCTCTCTCTCTCTCTCTCTCTTCTTTCTCGG